GGGGTAGGAAAAGCAACCAAATGTCTAAGCCACGCGACTGACGAGCAAGTGCTCGTTGGAAGACGTCATGTAAGCTTTTTAGCTTAACGTGGTGGTGGTACTGCGTTTGCACTTGCAACAGCTTTGGATCGTGCGCTTGCTTGATTTCTTCTTTGGCGTGCACACGACAAACGGATGACAGTTTCGCTGACTTGCTCTTGCGACAAATAGCTCAACGGCCCTGTTCGAGATGCACAAGCAACGGCAAGGAAGACGCTTGCGTTGACGTGCAACACAAGAAGCGTGGCCGTCCGCGGCTGAGAGACGATCGAGAAGCCCGCTATGGCCCCTCGACATATCAGCATCCCCAGGATGCCGCCGCCGCCGCAGCGGCAGCAAGAAGACCGCCGCTGAGCCACTACTCAGCTGGCACTCCCATCTCAGGGTACGATGACCCCATCCGAGGCAGTCACTCCTATCGTGTTCTAAAGTCTCAACCAAGCGAACCCATTGCGCCTCGGTATCTGGACAGAGCTCCCATGGGCGAGGCGAACCTGTACAGCCAGCCCCCGTCTCTCGCATCCGGTTCGCCTGAGCCAGTCGTCTTCTTGACCACAGAGCTGGAGATTGCGCGCGCTTCGCCAGCTTTCGCTGACGCCGTCGGAATCCCCAACGTCAGAGGCCGCTCCCTCTTCGACATCGTCGTGCCCACTGAGCGTGAAAAGCTCCAGAGCCACCAACGGCAGATACAAGAAGAGCGAACAAGGAATGACCCCGTCTACCTACCTCCTATTTTCGGCAGGCAGGAGCAAGAGCGTGTCTTCGACTCCTTGCGATTCGAGGCCGATGAGATGTCGCGGTTCCAGCTCGATCGTCAAGACTTCTTCGTTTTCGCAGCGAGCGATGGACAGCCGAGGTCGTATTCCGTGCGCCTGGGATTGGCCAAGCGTGAATCGATTTACTTCATCGTCCTTCTCATCAATGCCGCACCGCGGTATCCTTATCCCTCGCCATCGCCGCATGCACGCGAGATGCCGTACCCTTATCCGCCCCATCAGCAGCCGTACGCGCAGCATACCCCCGTCTCTGCGACGTTTGAGCAGCCAAGACCTCGATTCGGAGAAGGCGCACTTGCGCCGCGCCCATCCCCTGGCCAACCTCTGCATATGGCTTCTGGCTTAAGCCCTGGCATCAGTCCTGGCATGCCCTCATATGCAGCCTCACCCAGCCGTCCTGAGTACGCTAGCGGACCCTCATCGTACCAGATCCCTCGCAGCGAACTGCCGTCGACCACTCGGCCGCCGCAGCCATCTTTCCAGTTGCCTCCGATCCGAGCTGGCCCCCACCAACCTCCTCAGTCAGAGTCCTCTTCCTGGCAGAGAGACGAACGGTCAGGACGCGTCGACATCGGTGGCCTGCTCGAGAAGCCGGACCCGCAGCAACGACGTCCGCAATGAGTAATGACTTCCTGCCGCCCTAGCGGTCGTGGTCGATAATAATTCGCTTCACCCGGCTCGGTGTACGTTTCCTTCGCAGCGTCGATCGAGGCTACATTCGAGCCCAAATTCCTGGTCCATTGACATTTTTGACCGTGTGTTGAGATGGACGGACATTTGTCAAAGTCGTCCGTCTCTTGTACTTGTATCAAGTTCCCTTCGTTTCCATGTTCGCCCCATCGGGCCCATCGCTGTTGTTTTTCCGGCGGCCACGAGCCGTCACGAGATACCACTTGTATAACCACCAACCTTTTTGCTTTTTGCCCCCCCTGCACATATTGCCTTCCTCCTGCTACCAATTGGGGCATTTTGGCATCTGTTTGGGCGTTCTCTCTTTGGCTTTGATTCCCTGGGCTGGGCAGGTTGCGTCTGTTGTTGCATCCAACCCAATGCTGAATGATGTTGGAGAGTGTAGGAATATGGTCCGTCGTCTCCAGAGAGGCTGGCGGCGGAATGAGAGGAGCCATGGGGCGGTCATATGCGTGTCTTTGTTGCTGTCTGTGCCCGCAGACACAGTTTTCTTGTTTTGTCCCTCAAAGAAAAGAAGGCCCACCCGGCGATTCCTTGCCAACTACCGTGTTGCTCCGTTCATGTTACCTTGCTCCCAATGTGCTCCAGTGTCGTCGTGTAACTCAGGCTACTGTGATGGTGGGTAATGTTCGAAGTCCTGATGATGGCCTCCGGGATGTCGATGACTGCCGAGTCAAGAGTTTCCAAACGCCCGATGTCGACAAGAGGCTGGTCCCGTGAATAATACTTCGACGGATAACCCACTCATTGATGAGATGACTTTTTGTTTGCTTCCATAACTTGAAGGAGAACATGGCCAGACGAGCGGGGAAAGGGCGAGGTCGCAGACTTTTGACGGGAGAGTTGCCCCATTACTCAGGTCCGGGAATTGCGGAGACCGTCGGAAGAGGTCAGGACGGTAGGCCATCTGCCGCAATTCCGGTAGGTCAATCCGGGAGACTGTTTATCGTAGCCATGGCTATGGAGCGTTGATGAAGGGGTGTTCCATGGTTCACGTTGCGGGAGTGTGGTGGAGGAGCAGTGTGCACCGGCCGGGTGGTATAGGAGTGAGATGCTCGGGAGAGCAAAATATTGCGAGAGCCCGGCCGGGAGGTGAATAGAGGGAAGAGGAGTAGGAAGGGAAGGGCAGGCTAGACAAGAGAGAGAGAGACCGCCATTGTATAATAAGAGAGGGAGGAGAGGCGGCTAGAGCAAAGAACATGTTCGGCTGCCACTGCAACAACAGGCCCGTAGATAATTTAAACCACCTTGGTTCATAAGACTGCAAAGAAAAGGATTGGTCACTCACTTGAACACCCCCATTCAACGTTTCGTTTCCCCCTTCGGCCACCCCTGCCTGGCCCTCCCTTCTCTGCAGTCTACTGCGCAAGTCAAATCTGCGACTTCTGCAAAAGCTCGCCCGTGCCCATTCAGGCGCCCAGCCGGGCAGCCGGCGGATGCGGATGCGCGCGTCCTATTGTACCCATCTGCGTGCGTTGCGTTGCGTTTTTGCGTCCCTTGTGTCCAATGCAAGTGGTGCATGCGGAAGTGTGTGTCATTTCGCGTGGCTCTTAGTTGCATCCGCATTGGAAGGTATAACCCGGCCCTGGTATTGGATTGGTGCCGCCGTCCGCTTGAAGCATTGGGTGAGGATGGATGATAATCGCTCGGTCTGGTTTTGGGCCCCATTTTCCCCTCTCTTGCCGATGAACCATTGCATATAACCCATGATCTTAGGTGATGAGAAGCGAGAGTGGGCGATATGAGATGGGGCCGAGGATGGAAGAGAGTGGGAGGGAGGAAGAGAAGGATGGTGGAGGGGGGAGGGATTATCGGGAGTTTTCCTCGGGAGGTCCATGGTTCTTGTTTGGACGTTCGGGATGGATTGATGTTGCCATTGGCTCGAGTCATAGTCTCTGACAGCTCTGTGTCTCTCCGTGTGTTGCATACCAGTTTGCTTTCTTCGGTATTGGCTCGACTGTTGTGTTTGGTTTTGTGCTTCTGTGGCGGCGTTAGCCTGCCCAGTCTCGAGGGCGAGCTTTCTTCATGCCGTCAGCTGATGGGCATGTATGTCCGTTTCTTCATCGTCGACGTTTCCGCAGATCTTTCCTTCGGTCGTGTGCCGTAATGTGGGCAGCATCCCCCAACAAAGTAAGAGAGTAACAGACTGAGCGGGACTTGAGAGATGAGGTGAGAGAAAAAGATGTGATGTTCAGGGGGTCTGGAGTTGACCATCGTCTTCTTCCCCCCCTCCTCGGGCATCTCACTCTTTTTGTCTCTCGTCCTGTGTAGTCAAATCGTTCGTGCGTGCCTTTATTTTACCCCAGAAGCCCAACCGAAAGGAGGGACAGGGAAACGAGAGAGGAAACGAAACGAAACAAAACGGGCTTGCGGTGGATCCAACCACTGAGTTACTAGCCAGGGGAACGGGATGAAGAGGTGTAGGGGAAGTGCTGGAGGTTGCTTGTTACGGTTGGGAAAAATCTCCGAGACGGAGCCGGGCAGATTATTGGTGGCTCAAAAGAGTTTTTCATTCGGTCATTGTGCATCTTTGGGTGGATATACTTTTGCAATATTGAAAACCACGGACGACACCCTTGACCGTTCAGCTGATCAGCGGAATCGAAAGAAATTGAGGGATGTGAGAAGATTTTGAATTGGTGTGCTTTACGGAGTACTGGCGAAAAGAAACGAGGCAGTTTTCCTGATGGTTGAGAATTGAGACTTTGGGCTGCCGGCGGGAGAGGACACCACCACATGTTCGCATTCGTCCGAGCGACGGAGACCACCACCCAAAGTTGAAACGCTGATGGACATATTGGGAAGTGTAGTGGATGCGAACAGCTGGAAGCGGAAAGACGCGGCAGGGGTTTGTAATTGTCTATTTGCTATTCCAGGGAGGGTGAAGACGCCGCCTGTTGCAAACACGAGGCGTTGAGTTGTGCCGCTCGGGTGACTCTGAAGAGTACGGAGAAATCCAAGAAAATATGTGAATGAGAAGAAGAAGAAGAAGCAATGGGAAAAGGAAACCGTCTTGAGAGCATCGACCTGAAACAAAAGAGGCGCTGCCGAACGATCTTCATGATTGTCACTGGATTCGGCCCTCTACGTTCTTGATGTCTCCAGCGCGCTAGACCGCGAAAGGGTCGCAAGGGGGAGGGCGAAGGTTCCTGAAATGGACTCTTCGGCACCCTGAACAGTGGTTGTTTGCAGCGCAAATGGGAAAGGCGCATACGGTTAAGGTTGTTTCGAAACGGGCCTTGCATGGCAGCCAGGTCCTGTGGCCGCACGTTGGCTTGGGGGGAGATGGGGGAGAGGAAATGAAGGAGGGGCGCCGAATAGTGGCGGTGCCGGCAGCTAAACCACGACGTGGGAAAGCTAGCCGCACTACCTATCAACTCCGGTCGTGTTGTCGACAGCTGTCAGTCGTGTTCGCAATGCTCATTGCCGGAGCTGAAAGACCGAGGCAGGATTTCTTTCCACTGCCGTGTCGCTGATGAGCCGTTGTAATCGAGGCATGGCGCCGTCAGCTGAAACCCATGAGTAGAATACTCTGTACTGTACGGATAGAACGACAGGTATCCGAGCCACGCGAGGTACTGGGGTCCTAGGTCTATCGAGAGGCCCTACGGATACTAGACTCTGGTAAGAGAGGGGCGATGCTGCGTTGCCGGTGGACGTTGGGCGGTAGGTCGTCCTGTTCCTGCATGGATGGCATCATGGGACAGGTTGATGCTTCAATGGTGGCGGCACCAAACGCCCGCTTCTCAACCGTTTCTTGGAGGGTTTGATTCGTGGCTGGCTTGTCGTTCGACCGTGTTCTGGCGGCCGCTGTCATCCTCGTGGCCATGCTCGGAGCCACGCCCGGAGTGAGGGCTAGCACTGCGAATAGGAGGCTTGACTCGGTAGGCGAGTGTCTTGCGCCGCTTGCTGTCTGGCCACTGGAATTGCGGTTGGGTGTCAAGAGGCGCCGATGTATTCGTCGTCAACCTGCGACTTGCATTCATGGCCTCCCTGGCCTCATGATGCTGCTGATCGAGCTCGTGTTGTAGCTTATCGGGCGACGGCGGCGTACTATCGTCGAATACCTCATCAATGTCCCGTTTCCTGCCAAGCTGAAGTGACCCCGACGGCTGAGGGATTTGCATGTCCATCAAACTCTCACCGTGGGACAGAGGAGCAAGAGGACTTCGGGGGATACGCCGGCCGGGTGTCAAGGATGGGTCCGAAATGATAGGATCTGGTGAAGGTAGTCTCGAGCTCCATCCGCTGGACCCGCTGTCAGACGTGACACTACAACCATGCACGTAGTGGCAGTGGTGGGCCTGCTTGAGACCAGGGGCGCCAACTTACCTCGCACTCGAGAGATGGGCGCGTGTCGAGGCCACGCCGTCACCTGCGGTGCTTCCTGATGGCTCGTCTTTGCACATGGCAGGCGCCGCTAGCAGTGTACGTGGAGTTGGTTAGTGTTGGACTGACAATGGTCCAAAGAGAGGGTACAGCAATCTCTGCAGAGATGCTCAGGCGGCCGGCGCTGGTGCGGGCAGTTCGGGACCTCGGGTGCTTGTCGTTATATTTTGGCCGGTTCTGAGCAAGTGCACGGTTCCCAAACGACGACCATGTGTCGGCCTGGGTTATTGGCGGCAATCGTGGCGGTTTGTGCGCGAGAAGCCCTGTTTGTCGACTTCTGCTTCGCCAGGATTCATGATCATGAGGCGAGACTTTCGGTATCCGAAGCATTTGGTGAATGTGCAAGTGATGGCAAAGGCTTGCTCTTCTCTGTTCCATTGGCGGTTTCACCAGCGAACAATGAGGGCGTTCATGTTGGGCCGAGGTCAGGGCATGTCTCGGAGTGTGCCGCTGTCTGAGTCACTGTTCAAGGGACGAGCTTCTTCAGAGGGTTTCTGCAAAGCAGGCTCCTTGACCAAAGTTCTAGGCGTTCTCGACAGAATACAATCGGTCTAGTTGTGGTTCCGTTTGAACCTGATGGTTGGGATTGGTGGGTGACATTTTCTTCAATGTTGGAGACTTTCAGTGTCGAACGCCGCCACAGCCTCCACGCAAGGGGTTTGTGGGTGTCAAGGGTGGTGGCTTTGGTGAATCTGATCGATGGACTACATCGACAGTCCCTAGTTTGATCATTGGCGATCTTTGCTTCCAGGGCTGGCTGGTCAGCCTCAGATCGAAGCCTGACATCATTGCGAATAGCGTATGACTGCGAAGATCGATCAGAAATGATCTTTCCGCGATCCAGTCTTGCGAATTCGACGGTAGGCTAGCATCGTTACGGATACATCTGGATGGACGAATATCAACGTCCGAAGCGGCATTCCGAGTGCCGTATTATGCAAAATTATGTCCGGTGCACATTGCTCAGATAACGGTGAAGACGACATTAGGTTGATTACTGCAAGCCTGTGAATCGTGGTATTGGGTCTGGGGGCATATCGACGTTCTACCTTAGGGTGCATATCGTTGTAGCAACTCAGATGGAAGGTTATTGAAGTGATATGCAGATGGATGTGGGACAGTGAGGTGGGCACGTACGTACCTAGGTATCTGAGGCGCCCGAGGGAACTTACCTAAGCACACACTGCGTACACTACGGAGTACACCAAAGTAGGTTGCAGGGCAAGCACCCTCCATTAAGTGGTTTCGGCTGACTAAACAGCAACTCACGTGAAGACGCGCCAGAATCAGGGTAGTGGGCCCGGCAGTCGCGACGCTCATCCTCCTGGTTTGTATCCGTACCTGGCCGGCAGTCGGCATATTCACGCCTCCACCCAACTACCTCACCTTACAAACGTACCTCCAGGTCCCAAAGCGAATCTAGACTTGAGGTGGTGTGTCTCAAACACTATATGAAGATTGTTCCTGCCCACGGTAACCACCTCCATTAGTCACCTACGTCCTTCAAGGTCGACTAGCCGGGGCCGTTGGTGGGATGATGTACCACTACTGAGCTGTCTTTCTGCCTCACTTTGATGGTGTTACGTTGCCTACACCGGCTGCTAGCAACATCGAGCCTTCCCGGAACTGCAGACGGCCATGGCTGACCTCATGGAAGTCGATCCCGCTCCTTCTGCTGGCACGAAGCGGAAGGCGGAGGAAGACCCAGAGGACTCTCAGGGGCCCCGTCGCATTCGCGTGAGTTGCACTTATCGCCTCACTCCGTGTGCTACACTTCTGACATGCACGTGCAGGCGCTCGATCAGAATGTAGTCAACAAAATCGCCGCAGGAGAGATCATTGTTGCCCCCGTCAATGCCCTTAAAGAATTGATCGAGAATTCCGTTGACGCAGGTGCCACTACCCTCGAGGTATTGATCAAGGAGGGTGGCCTCAAACTTCTGCAAATCACCGACAATGGATGCGGTATCCAGGTATGACATGGCATGCATCTTTCCCATAGATCTATCCGTTCGTTCTGACTCTTCTCAAGAGAGAAGACATGGAGATTCTCTGCGAGCGTCATACGACCTCCAAGATCACCGCCTTTGAGGACCTTACCTCCATTGCCACATATGGCTTCAGAGGCGAAGCCCTAGCAAGTATCAGTCACATCGCCCATCTATCCGTGACTACCAAGACCGAAGACTCGAACTGCGCATGGCGTGCCACATACCTCGACGGCAAGCTGGCTCCTGCAAAGCCCGGTCAGTCGGCCGAGCCCAAGCCCACCGCTGGCCGTCAGGGTACGCAGATCAGCGTCGAAGACATGTTCTATAACATACCGACACGTCGAAGAGCCTTCAGATCGCCTGCGGAGGAATACAACAAGATCATCGACATTGTTGGACGTTACGCCATCCACTGTAAGGGAGTGGGCTTCTCATGCAAGAAGCACGGCGAATCGGGCACCAGTGTGTCTATCCAAGCCGCATCAACTGAAATCGACAGGATACGGCAGATCTATGGCTCAAGTGTTGCCAACGAATTGATGCAGTTCTCAACCTCTGAAGACCGCTGGGGTTTCAAGGCTACCGGATGGGCCACCAATGCCAATTACAACATCAAGAAGACCACATTTCTCCTATTCATCAATCACAGGTGTGTCGAGTCAACCACCATAAGGAAGGCACTCGAGCAGCTGTACGCCTCGTTTCTACCCAAGGGCGGTCGGCCATTCATCTATCTCAGCCTCGAGATTGACCCTGCCCGAGTCGACGTCAACGTTCATCCTACGAAGCAAGAAGTGCATTTCCTCAACGAGGATGACGTCATCCAGTCAATATGCGAGCACATACGCTCCAAGCTGGCAGAGGTGGACACGAGTCGCACATTCATGACACAGAGCTTGCTCCCGGGTGGCCAGATGATGGAGATATCACCTCAGGCCGAGGGTGAAGGTACCCCATCCACGCCCGCAAGAGAAACACCAGGCTCAAAACGACCACGGAGGAACTCTAACAACCTCGTCCGTACTGATACGAGCTTGCGTAAAATCACCAGCATGCTCCCCTCGGCCACAGCTGCTACGCCCTCCAAGGCATCTCCTGGCCTGGCTGCGGCCGCAACCGGGGTGGCTGACGAGAACGCCTTGTCTGCCTCGGAGCACATTCAGTACGAAACGGTCGACAGACCCTTCGCACCAATGAGGCTTACTAGCGTCAAGGAGCTCCGGGCCGAGGTAAGAGAAGATATGCACAACGACCTCACAGAAATCTTTGCAAATCACACATTTGTCGGTGTCGTCGACGAACGCCGTCGATTAGCCGCTATTCAGGGTGGTGTCAAGTTGTATCTCATTGACTACGGTCGGACCTGCTATGAGTACTGCTATCAAGTCGGGCTGACGGATTTCGGTAACTTTGGCACCATCCGCTTTACGCCGCCCCTGGATCTGCGAGAGATCCTCCGCATCGGCGCCGAGGTTGAAAAGGCGAACATCGAGTCTCCCGAGGAGGACTTTGAAATTGATGAAGTTGTCGAAAAGGTGGCTTCCCAGCTGATTGAGCGAAGGGAAATGCTCGCCGAGTACTTTTCCCTCGAAGTCTCCCCTGCCGGCGAGCTGCTCACCATTCCCCTCCTGATCAAGGGCTACACGCCCGCCATGGTCAAGCTGCCTCGTTTCCTGTTACGTCTAGGACCTTGCGTCAACTGGGAGGATGAGAAGCTGTGTTTTGATGCCTTTTTGAAGGAGTTGGCGTCCTTCTATGTGCCTGAGCAGTTGCCACCGACGGTTGGCGGGGAGGCTGAGGAGAATGATGAGGAGGTCAAGGTGGATGATCAGCTTGCAGAACGACGGAGAAACGTGCGCTGGGCGATTGAGCATGTGTTTTTCCCTGCCTTCAAAGCGAGGTTGGTTGCGACTACGTCGTTGATGAAGGCTGCTGTGTTGGAGGTTGCTGATCTGAAGGGCTTGTATCGTGTGTTCGAAAGATGTTAAACATAGTCAAGCGGCTCTGAGGCGTTAGGGAGAAGTTGCGATAGTACTGAACCTCCTCTATTTGCCTCAGGAATAGGCAGTGATGAGGTAGGGTACTTCAATTGCAAGGAAAATCAATGTATGCTGCTAAGAAAAAAAGCCCCATCGCGACTGCCCAAGGCTGGAAGGTGAAAAGTGACAGCACAGTGATCGCCAACATCCCAGCCCGAACCCAGAGAAACCAATAAGGTGGTGCGGCAATTGTGATGCTCAAGAGCTCTGGTGGAGATATACCGCCGTTCTCTGTTGGAGGTACGTCGATGTTCTCTGCTAGCCAATTATCGTCGTCACCGAGAAACGTGAATTTACTCCTGAAGTTTCTTTGGCCGTCCGAGGTTGTCGTTCCTGACCATGAAAGCTCATCTTCAACGAGATGCTCCTCTTCCATCGCAAGCAAGTTGCTCCGCATGGCTTTCATCTTCAATTGAAACATGCCAGCAGGCAAGTATCTCGATATTCTCCTGCCGCGTTTTGGGTGATGTATTTCGGATCGCTGCCGGGCAACCGGATTCTTGCCGAGCTTTTCGCTTATGGAAATCGCAGCGGCTGGCATCGACTGCGTCTCCGGAATTCGTTTACGAGGACCCATCCACGAGCTTGACCATGTCGGTAACTTGATGGCACCCTCCTTTAGGTTATTTTTCCTCTCGATACTCTGAGTCACTTGTTTCCAAGGAATCATGTAGGCCGATCCCGTTGAACGCGCCACAACCAGGCCTAGTAAGCTGTGGTCATCCTCCCGAACAACCCAGGAGCCTGAATCGCCTGCTTGAAGATCTGGAACATGTCAAATGACCATTAGAAATACTCTGAAACACCTGAAATTAATATTGCCTACCTCCTCGCTTGAGTCTAATGTTCCATGACTCCTGGGGGCGATCTACTTCAAGCAGCGTGTATGAGGGGCTTGAGGTCAGAAAGCCATCCACGATGCCACTCATGCCTGAGATGATGATCACACGCCAAGGCATGGCATAGTCGAAGCTAGTGCTATCGAAATAGCGAGCAATGTATATATACTTGCTGCGGGACTTTGATGCGGGCACAGTGTTCGGTAACCGGCTTTCTGGTTCAATAGGAAGAAGGTCCCAGTCATCCCAGATGTCATCCAAGTTCAGAGAGACAGCAGACTTGCTGCTTGAGCCTTTCACGGAATCGCGGGTAGAATGAGATGTATGCAAAGCGGGGGTGCCGAGGGTTTCGTCATTGTCTTGTTGATTTGCCAGTGGCGCCGAGGATAAAACATGCTGTAAAGTATGATATCCTTCGTCGGCGTCGAATGCCCGGATGAGGTCGGCCAGTGACGGAACATCGCTTTCTGGAGTGGTCTCGTCCTCGGGACGGTGGCTTGTTGTCAGACCAAATGTCTGTCCGTCAATCTCAATCATACCGCCCACGGTTGACTTTCTCTGGGAACCATCTAAACCCTCAAAGACGACCAAGCTACCACAGAAAGTATCCAATTCAGAGGAATCGATATTGTATGAGCCCGAGCCAGCTGAGCGGATGATTTCACTTTGCTCGTAGCAAAGTTTCAATGGGTCGTAGAGGTTTTTGTAGCCTTCCCGGGACATGATGTTGTCGAATTCCTCAACGACATCTGGCCTTTTAAGGCCAGTAACACAAATGGACGTTCTGGAAGTATGGCTCAGTCCCAGACGAGCTCTGACTCTCCGCGGATTAGGCTCTATTGAAACCAAGCGTAAGCTGATGGCTGGGAAAAGACGTTTCGAGTGAGCAAAGAATAGATCCTTGTAGATTCTCAGCCCTAAACGAAGGTTTGCCAATGCCGCTTGATCGACATTTGTGAATGCGAAGTTAGGATTTGCTGTGAGCTCTTCGAACCCGAAGGACCGCCGCATAGTCACTTTGAATGATCCGTTCGACAGATCGGGCTTGGGATGGATTCCCGGTTCGCTGGTCCTAGGTCGTGGAGTTTCATCCTCATGGTGCTTGGGATTGACAGCAAAGATTTGACGCTGCTCCGTCCATTGCATCTGCAAATGGGCAAATCCGCCGCCCTCATCAAGGCCAACTTGGGACAGACTGCTTGTTGGTTCGGTAGATTGATCGGGAACTTGGGTCATGGTTGTCTGTGGCACCTGACTATCGGCATCCGCGTGGACTACGGGATGACTGTGTCGTGGGGGTGTGGCGGTCGTGGACATAGGGTTCTCAATGCTGGCAACTGAAGAGGCGAGCGAAATCGCTTCCCTTTCCAGATCCATGTATACCGAGGTTCCCACAAATGCCAATGAAATGCAAAAAATGGCGCGAAGTAGGTCATCAACTGCACCGAGTATCTTTTCATTGATACCACATGCAGTAGCAACCCACTTGAGCAAAGTCCAACCAACACATCCTGCTACAATCCGGAGCAAGATGCGGCAGTTGCGGCCTCTTCTGAGAGATGATTCAAATGCGACCCAATAGGTCTTAAGCGGCCGAGTGACCACAGGGTCTTCCAAAGGGGAGTTAATTTTCTCTCTGAGGAATTCGTCGGTAAACAGGAGTTGTCTCGGTGAATCTGTGGTTAGTATGTCCGCGTTGAACGACGCACGCGTATTTGTTTGGGACATTCTGAAGCTATGAGGAAAAGGCTTGACTCATCAGGTCAGGAAATTGGAAACGGAGATGGACGAAGTCAGTTGCAAGGGGAGCGTACTGAGGTATTTAACCGTCCAAGTGAGGCTGACCTGCAGGCTGAGTACGCTAATGTCAGGAAGCCAAGTTCGTTACGCCGGCATGATTACTGCGAAGCAATTCATGGTGCTCAGATGCTGAGCTGAAAACCATGTGACCCTACTAAAAACGCCACGTCTGACTTCGCGTAGTCGACACAGCCTTGCCAGCAGCACTGCCTACCTTATATCAAGGCCACAAGCACCCATACGATTTCCAGCTTTTCTTCCGTGGTTCAATAACGAACTTGTGCATAGAAGGAGAGAAAAAAACATATGATGGAGCTTTCTTCGGTCGCGACTTCTGATCATGGCACTGCGGATGCCATCTGGGAAAGGACGACTGGAGAAAACGCATCACCAGCGCATCAATGGCGAATTCGACGACTACACAAGTTTCATACGGACGAACTATCAGCTAGTGGATATCGTTCGAAGAAAAACGAAGTATGGGAAGCCATTGAAAAGCTCAAATCAAATCCGTTGACGACAAAGGAGTCGATCCTCTCTGCAGCTAACAGCCAGTGCAGTGAAGCGATCCTGGAGTGTGCTGTGCGGTTAACGTTTATGACCGCATGCCAGACGAAAGGCAAAGCACTTGAAAGTTACAACACGCAAGAATGGAAAACCGATGAGACACTGGTTACTTTTCTAGAGCGTGTTTATCCACAAGTATTTGTTGGAGGGGTACCTGAAACGGCCATCGACACGGCAAATCTCAGCGCTCATATCCTACACAAGAACGCCGGAATCGAGATCAAAGCGACCAATACGCTGTCGGATCATTTATCTCTCGTACATGGGGAAGGATTCAAGACGTTGCTGGTCTTCCACCATTGTGCATTCCTCAAACATAGCTTCGATGTATTGAAGTCCGACCAGAAGGATCTGAGCCACTCGACTTCAGAGGCCATCTCCCGGTAAGATTCGAGTCCGAGAATCTGAACGAGAAGAAGAAGGCTGACGATATGATGCTACAGTGGTTGCTTGCACCCAGCGCTCCTCACGGAAACACTTAGAACCCTCAACCTCCTGTTCCCCCCTTTGGATAATCAATCCCGACGGATCCTTGAGAAATGGAGGGATGGACAAAATCTTGATACGGACCTACTAGAACCTTGCCAATTATCTCTAAGTCTTTCAGCTGAAGAACATCCTTCCGGCGACCTTTTGGCTTTATATAAGCAGTACCCGCACTGGGCCAAGCAGCTGGCTCGGCTGCTGAAAGAGGTTGACGACCCAACCCCGATTACCAGGTGGGAGCGGTATGCAGAACGGAGGAAATCGCCTCGGCACATGTACAACTGTGCACTTGCCGCTCTGATTGTGGCAGCTATCTTCGGAATCCTGGCCACGGCGCTAGCGGCGGTTCAGGTCTGGATATCGTACTGCGCCTGGGTAGATGACCCGAGACAGTCCTTGTGCGGGGCGAAGAAGACTCAGACTTCTCCAACGTTGAATGGGAGGATTTGAAGTCCGATGTGAAGGAGAGGAATCTTTGCTTTCGAATAGGTATCGAGAGATTGCTAAGCTTATGTCTTTCCATTCCACCCATGGCAAAGAGCAGGAAATGCCCCACAAAACACCGGCGAGGTCGGCTCGAGTGTAAGTCGGATGAGCCGGAGTGGAGCCCGACCGCCGATCGCCGTTGCCGTACAGTGTCCGCGCTCATGCTGCACCTTACAACGCAGGCTTCTAGCACGCATCATTGTACAGTGTCCAAATCACACCATACATGGCGCTTGTGATCAAATCCAGCTACCATTTTCCAAACCTGCCCAGACTTCCAACCTCACTCATCCCCGAACTCTCAACGTCATCCACACTCATAGTCTTTAATTCATCTTCATATCAATTCAGCATCAAGTCTCTCGAGTGTATTCAGTCACATTTATGGCTTCGCGACCCGACATGGACGACGAAGATCTGACCTTCCACTGCTGCGCGCCCCTCCGGCCCTCAGAACTCCTTAGACCAATTGACGTCGGCGACCTGGGGTACGTCAATACCCTCACTCACTCACTCACTCACTCACCTCTCCATCTTTGCTCAACTTGGACCTACCTCAATCATCTACTTGTCTATAAAACGTATTGAACTGACACTCAATACCACAACCAGCGGCTCAGGTCATGCAGGAAAATCAACCTTTCTCGCCTGGCCCATCTTCGGCCCTCTCCTCTTCCAAAACGAAACAAGCGACGCGCGTGATCACTGCGCGAATGAGAGGAGTATGCCAACAACTCCTCCTCATCATCCTCACCCCCATTTCCTCCTTGACCACTAACAAAATCACAGCATTCCTGAGCTACCTCCGCCTTTCAGTCTACATGTCCATCGTCGCCGTCGCAATCGTCCTCTCCTTCCACCTGAAATCCGAACCAAGCCAACTCGAGCTGCGCATGGCCAAACCACTCGGCATCATCTTTTGGATCTTGGCTGTTGCATGTCTGTGTCTTGGGATTGGGAACTATATTAGTGAGTCTTTCCCCTGCTCTGCTCCCCCTTTCCCGCTGTCCCCTCTCTTCCCCCCCACCCCCCCGTCCCTCCTCGTCGGTGCCGAATCCACAGAAAGCGCAAATAGCTAATGCCCATGTAAGAAACCGTGAACAAGTATAGTCGCAAAGCGGCCATCGTGCAAACCGGATGGAGAACGCAGCTCGTGAGTTCTTCCCACCCCTTCCTCATGTACACGCCTTTCTCCTAACGCAAACATCCTAGGTCCTCGCCGTGGTGGCCCTCAGCATCGTAGGAACATGCGTTGTCCTACTTGTCATCACAAAAATCTCAGCAAACGCTCGAGAAGGAAATCAAAACTCGTCAAACACCGACACCGCAGCAGCAGCTTTTGCCGCCGGACAAGTCTTGAAATAGAAACACTTGTGCTAAAGAATTTCAATTCGCCTTGATTTATATCGCCCCCCGCCGTTTTGTGCCTTTATCTTCGTCGCGCCGTGTCAGTCCATGCTGATGTTCCATCCATCCCGTGGGTATATAAAAAGGGTCTATATAGTATACACTTTGGCACAAAATTCTTCCAAACCCCTTTGGCCAACGGGCTTTTATTCTTTTCGTGTTTTGCTCTGCATCTTCCTTATTCTCCATTAACCCTTGAGTTTACCATCGGGCGTGCAGAACAGATCCCTCGCGGACCCATCCACGTGATCCCGCTGGGACTCTTCTTTGCTGCAGCCGCCGACTTGCTCGCGCCATGTAAACATGTATTCTATCGCCATCTGATAGATGTGCCTTAGGTTTGTGCCCTCGCCCTCCCACCCAAGTAAGGGAAGGTCATTGGCGGGCTTGAGGCTGCCGTTATTCGGCAGCGTGTCCATCGTCTGAACCAGGGACCCAGAGCTGAACCTCGACTCCGAGAGACTCGCCGTCCTCTTACCCTCCCCTCCTTCCTTCTCGTACTCCTCGGGGGCCTGGTAAAGCTCCCGGTGCACTGTCGCGATTGTGGCAGCCGTCTCCGCGCTGGGGTACAACGTGAAGTAGCCCCTGAGCCGTGAGAGACGCAGCATGTGTTCCAGCCAGGAGGGGAACTTCTTGCTAACCTGCTTTTCAGCAATTAACGCCGGCGATGGCTCGGCACCTCGCGCGTGTTGCAGCGCGTCGACTTGCGATACGAGGCCGTGGAGCTCGATCCACCTGTCGCCGAAGAAAAGGATGGCGTTGCTGTTGGGCGCTTGCCACAGGTAGGAAGTTCCGGGTTCGAGATCGGTTGCGCCTTCTGCCGTCGGTTCGATAAAATCCTTCTTGCCGTCCAGGTACATGGAAGGCGTGGTCATGCTGATGCCGAGTAGACGTTGGTCCCACTTCTGGAGAGTAGTCAGGCGAGAGTAGCGGTACTCCAGTACTGTGTACTTGAGGTCTAGCGGTTGTTAGTCAGAACGTTCTGCCTCTAGTGGCATGAGGCATGCATACAATGGAAGAAACCAGGCGCAAGCTCCGCCTGTGGTGAAAGAACTAGAATGTGAGAGTACTTTGGCGTGGTCGGCCAGAAAGACTCGAGGAACCTAATAGAGCTCTCCTCCTCCGTCATGCGCTGTCGTGGGATTCTGTGCCTCAGGGAGAGCATCTGCACGCGCCCGGGATTATGCACGTGTGGCGGCGGCCAGCGGAACGTCTCGAGAAACTTGGCTGTCGCCGGTTCAATGTCTTGGGGCAGCTCGATGGTGAGATGGGGGATCGAGAAGGCCGTGAAGTCGGCGTCATTGAGAGACTTGAGCAGCCGCAGCAGGCTGCCGGAGCCGCTTGCCGGGGCCTGGATCAAGATATCGACGCTGACCTGGTTCCACGCAGCCAGGGAAGCACTATCGAGCTTTGACAGCCAGGAAAGATGTGTCCAGGCGCCCGCGGGAAGCTCAATGAGCGGGGTCTTGAGCCTGCCTGTCTCGTCGCGCGTGCCCTTCATGAAGGGCACGTATTCGTCGTCGGAGCCATCGACGATGATAGCTTGGGGGTGCATGTATGTGCTAATATGTCGCAGCGCGCGGACCGCGGATTGTTCGAGTCGGGCGTCGGTCGAGAGGGGGGAGAAGTCGGCTCGGGCATCGTGCCAGATGATGTAGCAGGTATCGTCCACGCCATTGATCTTCTTCAGCTCGTCGAGGTTGATGTCGCTCCTGCTCATGACCGCAAAGTGCACATAGCTCCTCAGCTCGGTTCCCATCTTACAGGCGAACGGTAGCAAGCTCGAGATGCTGCGCAGGTTGGAGGCGGCAAAGAGGACATTCTGGTTGATGGGCTGGCTGCCCTTGGTAGCAGCAATGGCGTGCAACGAGTTCGCGAGACGGTGGAACTTGACGGGGCCGTTGTAGTCGTGTTCTGCGGCGGGCGGGATGGGTTGGCCTTGAGCTAGTCGGCCGGTCTTTCGTGATGAGGGATCGCGGGACGGAGAGGCGTCTTCGGGGTACGGGTAGATGTAGTTGGGGGGTCGTTGGCCGAAACCGAGGGAGAGGTCGCTGAGGAGGTACCAGAGGCCGGCGGCAATGACGAGGAGGTAGGCGATGCGTCGGAAGAGGCGGCGAGAGGGCATTTTGGCGGCGGGCTGCCATTGGGGGTTCCTGTTTCGAAGCAGCATGGGGTTCTTGATGGCGCTGCCGCCAGGGCGGTGGTGGTCGTCGTCCTTTTTCCCCATCTCTTCATCGCTGAGGAAAACGAAGGAGCGTAATTGGCGCCATGGATCCGGCATGCTTCTCTATCTGGGGAGGATGGAGAGGTGCAGCGATGGGCCTGAGGACAGATTACGGGAAGAAGAGGGAAAGAGAGAAAGTAAGAAAGGCAAGGGAGAGAATGCGAGGAAGCGAAGGTAAGACGAAGCGTGGATGGTACACGTTCACCGAAAAAGGACTGAAAGTTGCAAGGGAGGGGGGAGCGGTGATCCGAGGGTTGGGCGTCTCACATCTTCCCGTCGAGGTAGAGAAGCTGGCTGGGCTGCGTTATCCGTTGGAGAGCTCCAGATGGATATTCGGAGGGTAACGGAGACTGAGGAGGAGGAGAGCGAGTAAGGTCGAGGCTTAAGCTGAGCAGCGAGCGTACAGGACAGCACAGCAGTTGAAACAGACGCAGTTGCTGAAGCGGGCCAGCGGGATGGGGATCAGATGGGACGGTATGGGACGAGAGATGCCGTTAGATGCGATGCGTATGCGTAGGTAGGTATCCGTACGGATACTTGGTACGGATACACGTAAGGTAGGAAAGTTGGCGCAAGGTGGGAAACAACAAGTGGTCCCTTTTTCCCATGCGGTTCCCCTTCGTTTTCTCCCCCTGTTGAAAAGTTGCCGGCAATTGATGACCTAGACGGGCCAGACCTTGACCAGAGATTTGAGATCCCAGGGTTGTCTGCTCCAGCTGGGCTGTGCAGCGTGGTGCAATGTCACAGACGCGAGCTTTGGTGGGTAATGGGTGGTGGATCTGTGGAGCTGGTCCGGACGTGGCCCGGAGGATGAGGAGGATGCGCCTGGTGGGGGTGGACGGACGATCTCGAAGCTTTTGCTTTTGCTTTTGCTTTTGCTTTTGGATGGTGCTGGTGAATCGTGATGGTCCAAGGTTGACGTGGACTCGAGGATTCGGGGGGGGGGGGGGGGTGATGGGCACGGTCGTACGTGTGCGTGTTCGAGAGACCGAGCGAAAGCCAGCGGGGATCCGTAAGCTATAGGGAGTATTCGTATCTGCAGGCATGGAGTACTGACTGATAATGACAGCTGTACGAAGAGGGATCGAGGGAGAGACGCAAAGGTAAAAGCAAAAGTGGCATTAGGTGAGGTCCATTAAGGGGACCGTTGGGGGAAAAAAAAAAGGTGTTTAAAGTGTCCGGCTTGGCGTCCGTCTGGTGGTGTGTCCAGCAAGGAAGGGGGCGTGTGACACAATGACAGCAATGCCATCCATCACTTGAGTTCCATCAGCGAACTGCCAAATTCCTAGAGTTACCTTAGAGGCTTAGACACAGGTGTTGGACGTCAATTGAAGTCTCTTTGTCAGGTAACTTGTCTCTCCCTACGGAGGTGCGTCTCAATAGTCCTTGCAGTTGCTGCCAAGACCAACCCCTGCCATAGACAGGGGAGTCGACAAGGGGCTGGCTAGGGTGTGTACAAGCGGCAGAATTCGGCCACTTCCACCCACTGTAATTATCGTCAATTCAGCGGTAAAAAGTCGTCAATTGAGGTCAATTAGTGGTCGTTTGACGGTATAATCCAGCCCGACGACCCTCTTTGTATTCATTGCCGCCCTCTAGGGCAATTATCTGTTGGATGTGGTGAGGTACCCTTTCTATCCATTTCTGGATCTCCTCTTGCGGTAATGCTTTCCAGCACTCTTGCCAGCGACGTACTGCTTCGGCCCGTGACGAAGGCGCCCCCTTCCTGGTGGTCCATCTCTTCATCCACGGCCAGCAAGGTTCAATGGGATTGAGGTCGGGCGAATTACCCGGCCAGAGAAGCTTCGTAATCTCGAAAAGGCTGTACGTATAGTGGGTGAAGTGATGGTCGTGAGCGGGTGCCTTGTCCTCTTGTACGATTGGATTACCAGGTAATCCTTTGATATAAGGGAATAATTTGGGTAATAGGATCTCTTTGCGGTATCTGTACCAGTCAATTCCGCCCTTGCCGTTCCGTATTAACTTGCCCGACTTCGCATTCCAATTGAATTGGGGCTTACGGCCCGGTTGGTTCCGTAAGCCCATTCGCTCCATACCACTCTCGAGCTCCCACTGTTGACGTCGAACGGGCTCGAGCTCTGCGTTAAGCTCGGTAATCACTGCGTCGGCAGCCTTCCTCTCAGCAGCAGTCTCGGGAATCCAACAGTGGCACGGCCCTTTCGAATCGTATGAGAAAGACCCCCAAAACATGAATTCGGAATAACCCTTCCACCTCTCTCGTATGCACTGCCTAGAGTAGGCCTCGTCTGGGCGACGCCAGAGCTTATAGCTACCGCGGCGGTGGTTGAGGGCAACCGCGGTCTCGTCTGACCATACAACCCGCTTCCAATCGTCGAGGGTCCAGTATTGGTGGTCGAGGCACCACTTAAGTCGCTCTTGCCGCATCCTTTTCGTTAAGCCTGGCTTGCGGGTTGGTTTGGTCTTGTGGAAGCCATAGCGACGAAGGATTCGCCAAACAGTCATTGCAGATACGTCAACGCCCTCGTCCCTTAATAGGTCCCCAGCAATATCAGTACAGTTCTTTTCACGCCCATACCGGTCGCGGCAGACCTTGCGGATGACGGCATCGTTGACCTCTTTCGTCTGTTTGGTTGGACGGCCACTTCGGGGGGCATCTTCGTAATGGGCGGGCTCAATCGAGAAGGTAGGAGCAGTTGGGTCGAATCCGTTCTTTTTTGCGCGGGCAAGAACGTCGTAAACAGTTCGAACTGGAATTTCTAGAGCCTGAGAGACCTGTTCAGCAGTCCACCCAACAAGTCGACTTCGTAGAGCAAGAATCACTGCCCTGACGCCTGGATCTAGCTTCTTCTTTGTCGGCATCTCAGGATCCATACTGAGGAAAAAAGAGCAGCGTAGTAAGTAGCGATTTGGCGGTTTTGATATTATCGTAGGATTAGTGGTAGTATCGTAATGGCGGTGTATGGGGTAAAATCGTTGCTATGGGCAGTGCTGGGGGGAAAGTAAGTAAAGTGGGTCAAGATCAATCCCTAGGCTCTTATTGGTTCAGATGGGCAGTAATTGTGGGTCTGGGGCTTGG